AAAACGGACCACACAAAATAACTTTTGATCCAATGATAGAATCTTCACGCTCTAGAACTCATTCGTAATGATTCGAGGGGTTGACCCCAAATATGCTAATTAAATAGTGCAGACAATATTTTAAGTTAAGAAATCAGACACAAAAACGTACTTTCTCTAAATGAACACAACTCTTTTCAACAGAATCGGATTTCTGACCTTTTAAATATAAAGGATAGCCGCAATCTGGGAAATATAGTCCAAATAGTTTGGTCAGGAGAGCGAACCAAAGTTTGGACAGCTCAATGTTAATTTATTTTTTGTATACTTCACCATATCTCCAGAACTTTTTAAGCGAATTGAAAACATTTTACTCACAATTATAAAATTCGATTATATTAAGATAATTCCATGCAAAAAAATAAATATTTATTATTTTTTGCATCTTATATAATAGTAGTCGAAAAGAAATTAAACTGTACAATTACTGTGTAATAATACTGCATATTATACGGTATTAATACTGTATAATATATACAATTTCTGACATTATTTTAAAAAGTACAATTATAAATGGCAAAATTCAAGAGAAAGCAGTTGATTAATACCTGAGAAATCAAATTTTATATATACGTATTTTTCAAAAATTAGATTTCTCAGGAACTAATCGATCGATTTCAATCAAATTTTGTATTTTGATATTTAAAATTGTATTTTGTTAAAATGGTACATCACAATTTAAAAATTTTCGACTATTATTATGTAAAATAATAAAAAATAACAAGCATTTTTTTAAAAATATATTTTACATGGAATTATATTTGGATAAACTAATTTTATTATTGTGTCCAAAAAATTTTTTAATTCGCTTAAGGAGATCGCGAGAGATGGTAAAATACCCAGAGTAAAATTTAGCTACTCCAGATTGCGGCTTCCTCCTATATTTCGGGAGTCAGAATTCCGAATACGTCGAAAAAAATTTACGTTTATTTGTGAAATTACGTTTTGGTGTCTGATTTCTCGACCTAAAATATCTCCTGCACTAATTAATTAGCCTATTTGAGATCCTCTCAAACCTTTAGGATTAAGTCCTGGAACGTGAAGATCCGATCATTAGACCAAACGTTATTCAGGATGGTCTATTTTTTTGATTTTGCGCATTGTACACCTTATATAAGTTTGTTCAAAACGCGTGTGTTCACTTACGAGTTAAACGGTAAGTTAATTTTAATAACAAGTGATCAAATAGATAGTAAAAATTTAACAATTGAATTCAAAATCTCAATTTGTACATAACCCCTCATAACAGCTAAACAACTGTGAAAGTGAAAGCAACTGTTGACGCATCCCCCACTAAGCTGATCTAGATCATTTGAATAAACATCCAGTCACGATCCATGTTTTCAAATGGTAAAGGCATTTCGATTTTTTTTATATTAATTCTTTTCTCTTCTTTTTTTCATTCTCTAGTGCACTAGACCGCTTTGGTCTCCACTAATTGACCACCTGCACTGTCGGTCACCCGTAAAAGAAAGGTCAAGCAAGCTGTGGGAGTCATGTTTTTCTTTTAGTTGTTCTTTCATTTTTTTTTCCGATTTTTCCGTGTTTAGCAATTTGTTGAAAGCATAACCTGACGGTTAAGCATCATTCTTTTTTCAATTTTTATTTATCTTACATATCTTTTTCGAATATTAAATGAAGTGATCCAAATTGCAAATTTACAGACTAAAAAAATTTTTCTAAAATTTATATTCAGTAAAAATTATGTGTGGGGAAAATGTGTAGATAAATTTTCAACAATTTTAATATGAACTATAAACCTTTATATGGAATAAAATCTTTTTAGCCGCGTCTCGAATTATCTTAGCTTTAAAAATAAAGTTTACTTTATATAGTATCATTATTTTTTTTTAATATTTTACAAAAGCTTATAAAAAATAATTTTTAAAGGGCAAACACTAAAGAATAATTGTATAGAAAATATTTTAAGTTCATTCATTTATTTAAAGCATTTTAACAGTTTTAATAATATAGTTATTAAAAAAAAACTACATAATCTTTTCAATGTTTGATATTTTTATAATGTATTTTATTATGTATCTTTATAATGCTCTTTTTTCATTGAAAAACTACAACTTCATCAAGATTAATTTTCTGTAGATCAGTTTAATTAATATTGCTATAAAAACACAATTTATTTAATCTTTGTCACAGTTGTTTTAACTTTTGGTTTACGTAAGCTGAATTGTTTTAAGTTCTTTCATTTTTTTTCATTTGTAAAACGCGTTAAATAGGATAATGTAAATTTGTTTAAGAATTTGTATTTTTGAAATTTGCATAAAAAAGAATGTAAAAATATAGCATAAAATTTTGTTAGATCTTGTATTATTGAAGATGGTACTGAGACGAGGTAATCGAGCTAATATTTCTCGAAATATAATTCAATTACACTTATGTACCACATTGAACACTTCTTACGTTTTTGATTGTATTTGAATGCAGCTAAAGTCTAACCGAACGCAAAATTCCCCTTGATTACAGAATTATTTTTAATATGATTCAAATTGTAAAAAATTATTTTAGTCTCAACAGAGTTGCTTGTAAAAATTCATACTTTTCATATAGGTCAACCAATCAATAATGTGCCCTTTTTTTTACTTAATAAGCACCAGTTATAACTACTAATATTTAATATTCCACAAAGAAATCTTATTGTTATAAAAAAATCAATAAATAAATCAAAAGTATGCTTTATGTATAATTTTCAATTTATCTTACGACTTTATAATGCTTTGTGAATCTACAATCAATAAAATTATTAATAGATCGAAGAAAAAAACAAAATATTGGAAGTTCATATCGTATAAAGAAACTTTCTTAAATATCAAATAAAGGTTTATATTTTCAAACATTTTGTTAGTTACTAAAAATTTTATCGTTTGTCATTGTGTTATCGATGTTCGTTTACAGTTGTTTTTCACCGTTTGCAAAAGTCATGCGATCTTCTCATAATATCCGTGTTTATTAAATGTCGTTTTTATCCCTTAACAAAAGCCATGAGATATTCTCATAATATCCGTGTTTATTAAATGTCGTTTTTATCCCTTAACAAAAGTCATACGATATTCTCATAATATCCGTGTTTATTAAATGTCGTTTTTATCCCTTAACAAAAGCCATGAGATATTTTCATAATATTCTTATTTGTTGTTTCTCTCCTTTAATAAAAGTCATGAAATTTTTCTCATTATAGAATTGAAGCTTTAAATCTAGTTTGAAACTCGGATGTATATTACATAATTGCACAAATACTTGTACTTGCTATAATATACTTGCACTTGCCGATGATATACTTGCACAGGTTCAAAATGGCAATCATTATCGTGGAATATATATATTTAATACTATGTTTCAGGATTAAAACATTTAAAAAATTCTAATTTCTGACAAAAGAATAAAATAAGTATTTTATAACGAAGAGTGCAGATATTACTTATTTGTAAATGCTTACCATGCGACTAATTTAATAAAATATGCATAGTTTTTGCAGAAATTTTACAAAATAACATTGAGAGCCGTGATGGTTCAGGGGACAGAGCGTTCGCCTTCCAATGATGTGAACCGGGTTCGAATCCCAGTAAATACGAATTCCGCATCCGGCTTGCACCAATCACAGTGCTGACGTGAAATATCCTGTGTGGTAGACGGATCATGGGTTAGAGTCCCCTTGCCGTCAGGATAACCGTGGGAGGTTCTCGTAGTCTTCCTATCCATGTAACGCAAATACGGGTTAGTTCCATCAAAAAATCCTCCACAAAGGCAAATTTCCCCCAATACTTGATCCAGGAGTTCCCTTGTCTTCTGGATTGGGTTCAGAACTCCATANGAGTTCCCTTGTCTTCTGGATTGGGTTCAAAATTGCAAGGCTACGTAGTTGAACACTAGTAGTCATAAATCCAAAAATCGGGTCGGCTGCTCAGCGACGGTTATAAAATAAAAATATATAAAATAAAATAACTTTGAAATTCGGATGATTACACGGCCTTTTTATTAGAATGTGTTACATAAAAAAAGAAACTTTTTTCATTTGGAACACAAAGAAAAGCTTTCTAGGTTTATTTTAGCTTGTTTAATAAATTTTGGTATTGAAAATAATGAAGAAGACGCACAAATTACATTCCCTCAACAATGTTTGAAAATAATTTCGCGTCAATAGGTTGACGCCGATTGATTAACTTTTGGAAACGAAAACAAAGTAAAATAAAGTAAAACTTTTACATTGACCATTAATAAGTTTAAAGTCAATAAATGTTCTTGAAAATTATTATAGCAATTACATAACGTTAAATTTAAAGGATAAAAATTTTTTTACATTTTTGCTAGGTAAAATAATAAAAAAATTGGAAAGAGAGGGGGATATGAATGAAAACTATATTCAGAAGTATTCGATACTAGTATAAAACTATTACGAATTAACGTATTACAAAGTTAAACTAATACGAATGTAGTTTTTCAACAATAGTACTTAAGCCCAAAAAAAATTTAAATTTTTCGCAACATCCTAGTCCGAATTTCAATAAATACTTGAAGCTTTATTTTTTAATCAAAGCACGAATGGAGCTCATTTTATTTTCCAGTGACAAAGCCTTTCGAAAATTTTTATTTAAATTGCCAATAAGCTCTTAAAATAAACTCTTATAATACCAATAAACTCTTAAAAATTGCCAATACCAACAAACTCTTAAAACTTAATGCCGTAGTGTTTTAGGTCCTCAAAACACTTTTGGTGCATTGAGAAAAATAATATCATCAAAACTACCAAAATATTGTAAAATTTACCGTGTTTATGACTTTATGGTATGGTATAAACCCTATTTTATTGTTATGATTTAACAATAAAATAGGGTTTTATAATATGTGATGAAATTTGGTAAATGAGATAAAAGTTAGTAATTTTATCATAGTACGCATATGATATTTAAATATAGAATTAACTTTTTCTTTAAAGATGGCACTGAGGAATGTCGAAAGTACCAAAATATGGTGAAATTTACCGTGTTCCCGACTCTATGAGTGCTTTGGTAGTGATTTTGGTAAAATTAACAATAAAATATGATTTTATAATGTGTGATAAAATTCGGTAAATGAGATTTTGGTTATTTTATCATGATACCTTACAGCGGGGCACAAAAACCATTTATTCGGTTAAATATACTTTTCAGTTTTTTTTTTTTACTAAATATACTGTAAAAAGTTCAGTCTGAAAATCAGAATTTATGGTAAACCGTTTGTATATGAACGGAAAGATTACCAAATGAATAGCTTAAATACCATATATTTTGGATTATATTACCAGAATTATGGCTTATCTTTTTACCAGAAATATCATCATCAGACAGTACGGTAATTTCACTAGAATTTTTTTATCCGTGTGCAGATTCTGATTCTTCTTCAAGACATAAACTTGAATCCTTTTTACAGAGTTTCTGAAAACTTACTGACCCGATTTTTGATACTCTGTGTCACAATTACTCTGTTAATAAATAAAGTCCATTTATGTATTTGTTTAAACCATAACACTTTATTATATTAATAATAAATTATCTTTTTATTAATATTTAATATTTTTACGAAAATATTTTTTTAACTGTTTGCATATTAATTGTAAGTAAAGCAATAAAAATAAAAATAAAAAAAACTCATTGCTTCGAAAACGTTTTTTGATTTTCTACTGAATTATACACCTGTAACATTTTGTGATCTTTCGTTACAGACTATTCTATTAAGAAATTTTCAAAGAACATCAGCATTAGAAGACGGAAGGAGGTATGCTTCTCCGGCAAAGCGTCTCGAAAGTTTCACAAGTAGATATACAATACCCACAAACGTAAGTATTCATTTTATTTGCACAACTTACTATTGAAAATCATAAATCAAAAGTTAAGGAAACTTTTAATACCACTTCTTTAAATTTAACTTTTAATTTTAATTACTTTTAATTAATAACCTTTAATTATATCCGTTTATAGTAAAAAAACGTACTTTTTCTCACAACTATCTGATTTGAAAGATGTTCACGGGATTTTTTGGATAAAACAATAAATAATAACAATAAATGCTTTATATTGTTTTAATTTTTAAGCAAAAATGATGTTAAAAATTTTAAAACATATCCAGTTCTGATATCTAGAAAATATACATAAATATTCAGTAATATTAATAACTGACTTATTGTATATTCACTTATCTAATGTGGTTCTCATTCTTTTTCTTTTTTTAATTGAAAATTTTTAACGATTGCCTTTTAAAATGATATAACGATGTTGCGTTTATCTAAAAACAGTATATAGATAGAAAGCTGTATAAATTTATGTTAAAAACCCTTAAGTTAGCTGAAACTAGTGAATTTATTAGTTTTCTTCCATAGTCATAAATTCTATAAAGTTAAATAGTACAGTTAACTCCGTTACAAATCAATGAATTTAATTTGTATACATTCTTTTGTAAAGATAATTTTGAATGACTCATATCTTGTTATAAAAAAATCATTTCTAAAATATATTTTCTGTTCCAACAAGATATATAATTAGTTCCAGATTTATATAGGCTAGACTTAGCTCCTCTTCCATACTTCCAGACCTGGAGCATCGCGAACTTTAAATCAGTTCCTGAAAAAGTATATTTCTTTTTTATTACACTTCAGTTCATTATGTTTCTCAATAAGTAATCTATTTTTCTGATTATCTTTAGACAGTAAAAATTTTAATAATGGATCTATTTCTTTGCTGTTCCTGAAAAATGATAAGTTAAATGTTTCTATTGCAATTAAAACAATCAAGAAGAATAAAATACTTACATTTTTACTTCGGAACAGTTATAGATATTATTGGCACTCAAAGAAAAAAATTATGGTAAATTTACCGTACAGTACCGTAAAGACATTTCTAGTTTAAAAAAACAAAAATCTAATTCTGGTTAATAAAACCAAAATATACGATATTTAAACCATTCCTTGATAATTTTTCCGTTCATATGATATTGATTTACCGAAAATTCCAGTTTTAAACTTTATAGTTCTTATTACCACACATTTAGCGAAAAATACAAAACTTAAGAGTAAATTTATTTAAATAAATGGTTTTTATGTCAGGCTCTAAAGTATCATGACAAAATTAAAAAAATTTTAGCTCATTTTACCGAATTTTATCATAGATTACATAACTTCATTTAATCTTTAATTTTACCAAAATCATTACGATGTGCTCCAGTAAAAATTATCGACATTTTTGGTGTTCCCATAGAGGCAGAAACACGATAAATTTTACCATAATCCAGTAGTTTTGTCCATATTTTTTTCTCGATGCATCATAACAGCTGGAACAAATTCATTTAAATCAATCTTAGTTATTCGCAAAATGCGATATTATTGAGCATTTTTTATCCATTTGATAACTTCGTTGTCTTTTTTATTATTCAATGCCAATTCCTTTTTGGTCTCTTTCGGAAAATAAAAGACTATATTAAAAGTTACCACATTCTGAAAATAAAAGAATAAAAAACGCTAACAATGACGGTGATGGATCTGTGCAGTTCTTGGTCACGAGTTTTCACACTGATGTTAATCTGGTGATTGCTTTACAAAGACACGGAATGCAAAAAGAGCAGTTACTGTTTTCTATTCAAACATTATTCCTGTCCAAACAAATGCTACTGTGTATCAGATACTGTTCCAAAGATTGAAGTTTTGAAACGCTCAATCTATCATCCAGCTTGAAAGGTTTTAGAATCTGACACTATTTATTCAGTGGCGTGATAACTTGAGGAATTATTGAATTCGTGCTTAACGGGATACTTACAAAGTCTATAACGTTGAAAAAATGTATGTGGGTATCAATATCATTATTGTTATCTGCGTTTAAATAAGCAAGCGGAACTTTCAATAGTGTTTTTGCGTGATAACTACAACATATCTAAAAACAGCATACTGAATTAAGTTCGTGCTTAGCGATATGCTTTCGAAGTTTACTGTGTTGTCAAATTATACCCGGAGAAAAATATTTTGGTAAAATTGCCGTGCTTTTTGGTGTTTCCAGAGAGTCAGAAATAATGTGCATTTTACCATATTCTGATATTTTTTACCATACTTTTTTCTCAGTACCTCATAACAGCTGGAACATATTCCTTAAAATCAAGCCAATATTTAGTTATAATTCGCAGTATGCCATCTTGTTGAACATTTGTTATCCATTTGATGACTACGTTTGCCTTTTTTTATTTTTCGAAGGCAATTACTTTTTTATCTCTATTGCAAAAGATTTTATTAAAAGTTTCCACATTTTGATATAAACAAAATTTTAAAAAAAATAATAATAACTAAACGATAGCGGTGATGGATCTGAGCAGTTCTTGGTTCACGCATTTTCACACTGATCTTAATCTGGTGATTGCTTTACAAAGACGCAGAATGCAATAATAGCAGTTACTGTTTTTAATTCAAACATTATTTTTGTCAAATCTAATGTTACTGAGCAGCAGATATAGTGTCAAAACTGAAGTTTCGAAACACTCCACCTATCATCCAACTTGAAGGGTTTTAGAATCTGACACCATTTATTCAGTAGCGTGACAACTTAAAGAATTTTTGAATTCGTGTTTAAAGCGGTACGTTATAAGTCTATAATGTTGAAGAAATATCGATATCATAATCCGTGTTTAAATAACAGTGTGGAATTTTAAATAATATTTTTTGGGTGACAACTACTAGAAATCAAATTATACACGGAGAAAAAAAATCTGGCAAAATTACTGTGCTTTTTGGTGGTGCCGTAGAGGCAGAAACGCTATAAATTTTACCATATTCTATTATATTTGACCATACTTTTTTTTCTTAGTATATGGAGAAATAATTAATGAATCCATGGGGATCAATATCATTATTTTCATCTGTGTTTAAACGTAAGAGTTCAAATAATGTTTATGTTTCAACATAACTGAATCATATTTAACAACAACATGCAAAATTAAAGTCGTACATAGCAGGTTTCATTCTAAGATTAGAGTAGTGATAAATTATATGACGAAATTATTAAATAACTCAATGGGAATTAACATTGTAATCTCCATCTGTGTTTAAATAGCTTCGTAGAATATCTAATAATGTTCTTGTTATTACACACCAAAACTGGAGGATATTAAAATAGTTAATTAAGCCAGTTGTCTGTTAAGCGGGTCATGAATATTACGGCTCAACGATTATAAATTAATAGCACGATAAAGGCAATGTAGTTAGCATTACACATCAGTTCAAAAGTACGTATTTAACTTAATACAAGCCGTTAATGTAATATTAATATAAATTTATAATCGCTTAAAAGCATTTACTATACGGTATTAAATAATCTCAACAATAAGTCGTATAAAAGATCTATAGCTTTTAATTAGGTTTTTCAAAGTAACTCAAACGAAGATGGAATTTCAACATCAAGGTTCAATTATTACGGCATATTAAATATTAATTTTAGGTCTCAAAATGTGCTTTCATATAAAATAACATACAAAAATTTTAAATCAAAAGTAAAGACAATATTTATTTGCTTTAAAATTCATTGAATAAAGCTAATTTGTCCGACATTTGTAAAAAAACATGCTTATTTTATTACTCATTCTATTGTCTCATGAGTATAATCAAATATAATAAAATTTATTGCATTTTAATAGTAAATATTGATCGATATTTTATTCATTGTTTAAAAGGATTAGGATATCAAATCACATGTTCTTTCACAGTGACCCTTGTATTTAATGAGTAAGAAATGATAAGACCACTATCAAAATCATTAAGAAATATCAAATGATTTGTGTCTTAAACAGAACAAATCCTGATATGTTATTAAATTAATGTAAAGGTGATATTCCTTTTTTTACATTATAAGCGCAATAATGCTTGTTAAAGTATTTTTATACGCTATAAAAAATTTCGATTGATAAACACGCATTACGAAATATTATTAAGGATTTCATCAATAATTTTTTATTCTTAAATAAGTTATTTAATTATTTTTAGCTTGAAAGTGTTCTCACAATTAGAATTGTGGAGAAAGAAATAAAGGATAAACTATGAAAACTTAAAAAAATTGAAAATTCTTTTTTCGAGAAACATTTTTGGTCTGGTTTTCATCATAAAAATTTCCTTTATGAAAATTAATTATAAATTGTAAGAATAATAACTAATAACAAACTAAAATATTTCCTAAAAATCAATTAAATTTTTTTATGACAGAATTCTTTATGCTTCCCATTTACTTAAGTATAGTATCGAAATTAAAGGATAATTTTTAAAAAAAAACACATGCTGATGATTGGTTATTTAGAGCTTATTGACATACTACGCCAATGCATCACTAAATGTATGAACAGCCTAATAGTCAACAGCTGATTTGAAACAGCTCTACAGCAAATAATTATAGTATTTTTAATTATTTGGCTCTAATCAACAATATGCGTCTAAATCAGAAATGTTACAAAAAATAGAAAAATTTTACCGCATATATTACACTGACTAAATCCAAGGCCACAATTTTTCCCGGTAACAACATGATGACAGCATGGCAGCACTAATATAAAAGAATGAAAACTCAAGTTGCCACTTTTCCCGTAGTTGTAGAAAATATTAGTAATTGAATAAAAAGTCTTTAGAACCAGTTAAAATTTAGGTCTTTATTTTTTAACTACTTTGAATATTACAAGAAAATAATAGCATCAAAGTAAAATTTAAAAATTCTAAGCAGTGTTCTCTCTAAGCATTTTTAGAAGGTCGGCCCACCTTGCCTGCCCTTTGATCCCTATAAATGCCCTCTCACGGCCCTTTTTGTAAAAATAAGCCGCCATACCTTAAAACACTGCCTTTTTATTCATATTCCATTTTTGAGAAAAATTAATTAACTGTTTAAATAATAATTACACGCACAAATTATCCGTGTTTATAGGTTTAATTCTGATTACTATAATAAATATTTACTTTGTTGGGATTATTCCGAACTGGTTAAATTTTTGTAAGTTTTTCTTTTTTGAAGGGAGTATATTAATAAAAAGATTTATTTGAAGAATAATTTCAAATTTTGAAATTATTCTTCAAATAAATACCTGTTTAAAAAAATCCTCTTTAAATGTTTATTTTCTAATAATTTTCAGTACAAATTATAGAAAAATTGTTTTAAGCTGTTTATCAGAAAATATATTTTTTTTAGTTTACTTTTTTTTAAAAAAAGTGTATGCACATAGATTGTCTCTTAGCATGCCTTTCATTATTATTTATGAACTACAAATTTTTCTCTTATTTAGATAATGAGTAAAAATTGCTTTTTGAAATATAGTTATAAAATAGTATAAGACGGTAATTTAAAAATTGTAGAGGATCAGATTCAGTTATTACATGATATTACACGTTTTGATAAATATTTACGGTGTTAAGCGAGATCTCTTTCAAAAGTCAAAGTGCATTTTTCTATGAGAAAGCATCCTGCCTTTTTTATTCCTGAGGTGAACTCGGAACTAAGCACATATTATGTTTTTATATAAACGGAATTAACCACTACCCGTGACGTTTACAATATCTCTACGCATTGAACTTGCTTTAGAACTATTTTTTTTTTCATTTTTTCAATAGGTAGTCAGATGTACCCGAACCAACAGGTTTAGTAGCATTGTTATAAAGAATTGTATCATCATTATATCTCATTATCTTGTCATTCCATTTACAGTCTTTCTACTTACAAAATTCTTGGTTAGAAGTTGTCATTGCAAACCGAAACGAGCATTAAACTTTAATTGATAATCTAAATATTTAAAATTATATTGTTTGTTCTCTTAATCAGTCGAACAATAAAATGAAATAAATACACTTAATTAGTTTATGTGCATAATTTTTTTATTTGTATTTCGGGACTTTTTAAATAATAGAACTAGAAAATTAATATTAAATTTTATAGGAAATAAAATAGAAAAATAATACAAATGAAACTTATGAATTAGAAAATATTCTTAAAAATGTCCCCAAAATATTCGCTAATACAGAACTTTACATCTATATTTAAATTCTACTTACATTAGTGTGACTTGCTTTTTATTGACTATATGTTTAAGTTGCTTTTTAGAAGCTGAAACGGAAAATATTATTGATTTTGCCATTAGCCAAGGAATGTAAGTTCTTCATAATTTCAACTTCATAAGACTGTAAAACTTCATAAGACTTTTTAAATTTAAAAATAATTCATGTAATTGAAATGTAATACTTTTACTAAATAAAATCACTACGCCATTTATTCAAATTCACAGAGCATTATAGATTTTTCAGATGGATAGTTCATACTTGATTAGCTATGCTACAATCACTATGCGAAGCATAACCATTCATTGTATGACGAATTAGTGTTGTAATAAGATTCAACTGTTTTTAGTATAGTGAAAAGTCCTAAGACTGAAATAGGTTAAAAATAGTGCTCGTGATAAAATTTTAAACAACGAAAAGGGAAAATTTTAATTAAGATTTGGCCACTAGCCAAGAAAAGTATGCTCTTCATGAAACTTATCCGGTATGTTCTGTCTTGAAGATACGCTTGTTTTGTGTAAACTTTGTCAGAAAAGTATTTGACACTGCTTAAGTTAAAATACCATTGCTTCATTAATTAGATATTACAATTTGACTCTATCCACTACAAAGTTATCGTTTAATTACACATTCTTATAAGTAATTTATCTTTTCCATCTGCGACAATAGCGCACAATATTGTTAATTAGGTAACCTAAACCCTGCACAAATAAGTATAATTTGCCCCCCCCCACCACCACCCTAAATAAAGTTCGCCAACTACCTCAATAAGAGTTGACTGATTTGATTACCAACTGCTCAAGAGGTAAAATTACTGTTTTACCACCAATGTTGTGGAAAAACAAACATCTCATTTAAAAAAGAAAATTAACCAGTCATGAGTTCTAGCCAAAAATACGCTTTGCATTTTTAATTTTGAGCAATCTTATACTTATCTTGAGCTAATCTGTACAGCGATCTACTCTGATTGATCTTTAGAGTTATCTTATAAAGTGTTTATCGGCGTTAGCTGTGGAACGGTGAAAAAATGCGAACATTGGAATAGTAGATATCATACATTAAAATATGATAGTACACTCACAAAAATGATCTAGCACCTGTTGGGAGATTCTCATTATTCTTACTGATTAAATTATCTATGTAGTTAATTTTTTTATTATAATACTGTCACATTAAGACCTAACAGACGAGTACTAAAATATTATCTCATTATTCTCAATTTTAAGAATATTTAAACTCAACTGCATTTCGACAAACTATTGATTGATTCAAAAAATATGTTTATGTAATATATATATATTGTTGAAACAATTATACGAACTTCCAACGGAATAAACTAAACGAAGTAAACGAATTAAAAAGGAACGTGGAAAATCAAATCAAAGTAATTAAAATTCACTGGCCTTTGGCTATTTCCTATTCTCTGTTCTCAAGTTGTAATGATATTAGTTTAACAAACTTAGTGAATTTACAGCCAGAATAGATTCAATAAGGTTATCAAGTGATAAATATTCTATTTAAGTACATTAAAGTGAAACGGAAACAATACGGTGCACTTATTCCTTAGGACGAATAAATCAAGCAATCGCTATAAGGCTAATATCTTTTTTTTTACTTTTATGACTTTCTCTGTTTCTTTTCTAATTTCAGGATCCTGCTTTAGCAGCCAAACTTCCATTCACTTTTGGTTATCGATTCACTGATGATTACGGCACCACACAAGTTCGAGAAGAAAAAACGGATCCAGATGGTGCCAAAACTGGTTCATACAGCTTCATAGATCCATCCGGAACTTATAGAAGAGTTGATTACATCGCAGATCACCGTGGATTCCGAGCTACCGTTAGAACTAATGAACCAGGAACAGTACCAGTAGATCCAGCTCATGTGAGTGTTCGAGTCGAAGAAAATTTGAACAACAATCAGCCACAATTGCAACCAATTCGAAATTCACCACAGCTGGAGTATAGCAGTCACATATTTTCTCGCTATAATTTTACTTCGAACCCTCCCCAAGAAAATAATCATTTTAATGAGCCATTACAAAATTTAAGAGTTGTGGATCAAAACTCTTTATACAACAATGGCCCTATATTTGAGGCTCAGAGGAATTTACCCAGAAGACAACAAGATACATACAATCCTCCGTTTGGTTCGAATGCAAATTATTACCAAAATAACATATCTCCTAACAAACCACCGGTTTTCCATCAAAATGTGCCAAATGATTATAATTCAGAATTGAAATCAGATATTTACTTTGATGCACCGAATGTCAATCAAGAATATATTTTCAGAGAAAAAACATCAAACATTGGCTCTAACACTCCAAGTTATTCTTTGATTAATCCGGCCTTACCACCTAACCGATATCCAAGACGACTCCGGAATCCAAGACCTAGACCAAAAGACAGTCCACAGTATGAAATCCATACTCCTAAAGGCTTCGAAAATTATCCGGAGTTGCCATTGTATAGAGATAAATAGTTGACAAAATATTAAATTGTTGGTTTAGCTTTCATGCTAAGAGTAAATTTGCTTAAGAATGCTGAGACATATTGTCTCTGTTTATGAAAGATGAGGCATGTTGTCTGTGATAATTTGAAGGTAGAATGAGGCTGTGTCAGATCGACCAGAGAGAGCTACGAGCTTGATTTAAAAGTTGTAATCGTTTGCAAGTTCAGTCCTGATTAAACTTTATTATTGATGTTAGGAACTGAATCAGCTTAGAACAACAGAGAAGAAATCGTATTTATTGCTGGTCCTGTGTATTTTGCAGCATGTAACGTTTCAATAATGTATCAGGACACTAGTCTTTTGGGTATAACCTAAAACTTTCATGGAAAAAAATGTGTAGTATTTGCCATAGAACACTTGACGGAAACAGTCGTATTAAAAACAGTTTTGACATCAGTTTTCACAAACTATAATTTGGTCGTAACCAACAAATGGTCACAGAGGAAAAGAGAGATAAGACAACAAAATGATTACTTTTCCATACTTTTAGAAAAGAAAACAAACGTGCTAGCTATGAATAAAACTGTTTCAGAAGTTTTGAAAAATGTAAATTAAGAATTCTATTCAGCACTACAAAAGATATGATTAGCTTTGATGCAACTTCCAACAAAAAAAAAGGATATTTGAAACTAACAACAAAATAATTAATGTTTCTAATGTAAAGTTCTTTCCAATAGTTTACAATTGACCAAATCTAAAATCAAAAAAATCCTTTTATATCACATAAAAATATTAGTCTCGGTTACTGAATCTTTTATTTTGACTTCTTATGCTATTTACAAAGGATTTTTTTTAAATATCTCATAAAAATTTTAAATATACCTTAGCAATTAAAGAGATGAATTTCCGATGTCTTTTAAAACTATACACACCTAAGTTATCTATTTGACGAGTTTAATTTTGCGAACTCAATACATGTTGGTTATAAAAATTAAAAATAATAACATGAACATAATCTTCAGAAAATCGCAACTGGCTTAAAGAAGGTATCAAATATTTACTAATTATTAAGATTATTTAAAACTAGAAACCTAATATATCCGAATAATTGTTACTTTTTACTAGTTTAAAAATATTATATTCCATTTGGGTTCAGGCATTAAATCACAAAGATAAATTGCTGCGAATACCATCTTACAAAATAACATTGCTTTAATAATTAAACAAAAAAATATAATAAGTACACCTAAGTAAATGTAGAAGCAAAGGCTTTGTTGGCACCATTATGCGTGTGTGTTATTTTAATCAGATTGAAAGATCTTTTTTATTTTAATTTTCATAATAACTATTTTATAATCATAATAATAGTTATTAAAAAATGGCTAAATTAAAAAGTGACTAAATTAAAAAACAATTAATTAATTAGTTATTAAATAGTACTTACTTACGAAGTAATTAAATAATATATAACTAATGAGTAATAAAATAATATATGTATATAAATGATAAAAATTAACGAAATAACAATAATTAAGTAAAAATAAAAAAATAAATGCTTAATTATTTAAAAATAAAATCATCAAAAATTAAGCAATTACAAACAATCTTTTTGAAGAAGTTTTTTTCACTGATATTTTGCGCTCCTTTAATTAATAAATAAAAAACTAAGAAGTTTCTTTAAATATCANACATTTTTCTAATTAATTACAAAGACATAAAAGTATGGTGGGGCGGATAAAAGAAATAAAAAAAATTCAAGATTATAATTTCCAAGAATTTTCATTAAAATTTGAAAAGTATTGAGCGATAATTTAATTTACGAAATTAACACACCCTTAGTAATGCACGAAACGAGAAATGTGTATCCCGACAGCTTATAAAATTAAAATTTATAATTTTATCTTTTCTATTTGTGCTTTTAAAGAATTGCGTTAGTTTGCTACTTACGTGATCAGATTGATTCATATAAATGTTTACTGAATATTAACACAACTAATCATTTTATTTACAAATTTTAAGTGTTTAATGGAACACACACAATAGATGAGTACTTGAGATAAAACCAGACCAGTTGAGTTTTTCTTGGATCATTTTCTTACTAAACTTTTTTAAATATTTTGTTCAAGCTTGCGATTGTAAATAAATGAAGCAGAAAATATTGCACTCTTATATTTATTATATTTTATTTGCAAATGACATCAATTTAAATAACATGAAATAATTTATATGTTTTTGTTATTGTTTCCATTATTTTGTTTGGAGCACGCTGTTGAATAAACCATTTTCCTGAATTACTTTTCTTTTATTTCATATCAGAAACAAATGCAGTTACAGATAAAGTGAAATTATTCTTTTGCATTATTCTTACAGATATATTACTTTCAAAATACATACACATCTATGAATTTAATGAAAATATTATTCTAGTTATAATAAAATAAAATAAAAATTCATAAATACCCATTACGGGAAATTTAAGTTCAATCTTTGCCGATACAGTTTTATTACTCTTGATTTAAGGCGTAAGCTGACAGATCTTAAGTGATGATGTGACATATGTTAGTTTAAATTTATTGACGACTACTAGATTAAATCCTTAAATACGCCTATCCTTTCAAATTATTGTCGTAAACGTATCTACTTTGCTGCAAGCAAATAAAACTTTGAACGCAAAACTCACTAAGCAATTCCTTTCTATAATTTAATATTGCAACAACTTAACATTGCCAGACATTTTAATAACAAGTATAACTAAACTCCGCTTTGCACCAAATTGAAATACAGAGCTTTCTTTGTTTCCATATTGCTTTCAAATAAAGTACTAAACCGATTTCATAATAATAAATCTAATTTCAATTTAAAGGACGGCAGAATAATTTGCCTACTCGCCTACGATCTAAGCGTGCAAATAAAACCGAAGACATAAACTAATCTTTAAGGTTGTGTCATCTCGTTCATGAAATTATCACATTCAATTAGATCTGAAATACGTTCGCAAATAAAACTGATTACTTTTATACCCCGAGGATTTGTGTTGAAAGGTCAACAGCAGATTCACTTTTGGAAGAAAAAAAAAGAACTGCAACCTTGCCCATCAGAATCTTCTTCTGTTCAAGAGAATAAATATAGGCCAGTTTGCTGCTACACCCCCAGAACTCATCACTTTGCAAGAGCTTATCACTCTTCAAATGTCTAGATTGAATGGAATTTTTTTTTAGAATTTGTTTGATTCATTTCTGCTTTTAAAGTGAGTAACTTGAAAGTAAAACGACTGCTTTTTCAGGTTTCTTTTGTTTTATTTGTGCAATTAAAAGCTTAGATGACGAAGTGAATGTCTGCTTTTAAGGAATAGATTTTTGTTTCTGATCAAGTGACACGACTGTACAATAATCATAGCTAAATAAAGATTTACTTATCGAGTTTTATTAAAATTTAGGCAAATGGATCACGCGTCAGTTATCGATGATTTGTTTAGGAGGAAAAACACTTTGATATCAATAAATTGGACCTATCTTTAAATTATTAAGCAAAAAAAGAATAAAAACAAGAGTGGCGTAAAAATTTATGAATAATAATACGATCAAATCTAACGGTAATTTCGAGCGAATTTTTACGAAAAAAAAATTTCTGAACATTGGCTCCCCTCAGAATAACATTCAAGAAATTTGGATTGTTGCGTTGAAAAGCACCCGGGTCAAATGTTTACAGTAATATCAATTTAATTAAAGTGATTCACAGTATCTCTTACTGTAGAAATTACACTATATCAGGTGCTTTGTTCCGTAACAAGTTTCGATAAAAAAGGATTTCACGGTGAAAAGTACATCACCTGAGTGTCGGTACTTTTTACCGTAATTTGATTCGAGTGTTAGAACACTTCAATTTAAAAGCTAATGTTATGAACACTATCCCAAATAGTTATTTGTCTTCAGATTTACCTAAGTTAAACAAAATTAGAAACATTCAAGCGCCCCTCCTTCAATGACACTTCTTTCAAACTTCTTGTCAAAAGTCACAGAAGTTTTCTTGTCTAAAAGAACTTAAATATATTTTTAGATTAGCAAGTTCGAATTACTTCTTTTGAAGATATATATTTGTGGGCTGAAGATATATATTTGTGATATATATTTTCTTCTGAAGATATATATTTGTGATCATTATTCATCATAATGATCATTATTTCCCAAAATTCCTTCTTGTTTTAAAAATTGTGTTTTCAAAAGTGAAAAAAAATTTAAAATATAATAGCATGTTCACGTTTTAAAAAATAATATTGATAATTTCATGAAATAAATATAAAAAAGTATTCATACACAGAAAAGGCATATTTTTTTCTTCTGTTTTGTAACGCTTTTCCATAACTTTTAATCTTCTATAATCAAATATGTTTTACGAAAGGCCTTTTATAACTTAAATTATTAGATTTATTTTATGAATAGGCTATTTACTTTTTTACTTGCTATGATTTTTATATCCAAAACATTTCTATTTGACTAAATCACCACTCTTAAATTTTTATCTGACTTTCAAAAAGCCTTTCATAAAAAAAATCATTTATTTGTGATCGATAGATCTTGCAATAGCTCACATTTAAGAACACATATAGATGATATTGAAGTTATAAAATATAATAAAATTTGAATCATTTTTAATATCTGTACAGTAAAATCGCTAAAATAAAATTATCCATATTGGAATATGCCTTTTAATTGCTTATTTTTCAATTCTATTTTCAAATTTTTAGATTACAATTTGCTGTAATGTTCTCAAATCATTATTTCTAATAGCACAATAATTGTCACCTTGTAACAATTCATGTAATTTTTACCACACTTCTATGATTTCATAAACGAATAAATTTATTCTAATTTACTATAAGATAGATCAAGACATACTTAGACAAATTAATTATAAGATATATATTAAAAATTCAAATATAATTTATCTATTATATTAATATATATTAGATAAATTATATATAATATATCAAAATTGCACATAGTGAAAAAAATTCTGATAAAATAACCGTATTGTATGTTTATAACATTTCTGGTAAAAAAAAATTAATAATAATAATAAAAAAATAAAAAACATAGTTTTGATCAATAAGAACCAGAATATACGGTATTTAAATAATTTATTAGGTAATTTTTTCATTCATATAGTTTACCAAATATTCTGATTTTAAATATTACAGTTTTTATTACCACACATTTTGCAAAAAATAAAAAAATAAACTGAAAATAAAATTTAACAGAATGAATGGTAACTATGCCATGACATAAATTGTTATGATAAAATTACTAGATTTTTCCACATGCACCTAATTTTATCACGTTTTATAAAATCATATTTTATTGTTATTTTTACCAAAATCATTACCAAAGCGCTTTAAAAATTATCAAGCTTTTTGGTGTTCTCATTGAGCTAGAACCACGGTAAATTTTATCAAATTCAGGTAGTTTTGATCATACTTTTTACTTAGCGCATATGTATTAATTTATCCTATAATTCCTTAAAAATTGGATTGATATTATTTACAATCCTGTTTCAAATCACTGAAAGATTATTTAATATCTGATCTTTTTATATTACTTTGGTTACAGCTTACATATTTCATAACATATTTTAAATCCAAATTTATCATTCATTGTTCTTACATTTATTTTATTTCACTTTTCTCAATCCGATCTTTATAGGTCGTAATCATTGTTTTATGGAATCATAAACTTTTATTTTTCACAACAATATATTTCTGAGTACGCATTTTTGTGATAGTTCTTATTTTTTTATAAAATTATTGTATGTATTTTGTAATACTATAAACAAACTTGTCATTATTTTGTTATTAATATGAGAAAAAAATTTGCTTTAAAATTTGAAAAATTACATTTTATTTAAGCTGATAATCCTTCATTAATAGTTTAAAAATTATTTCATATTCTACTGCATAAAATATAACCTATTTACAAACATGCCCTGAAATAGACAGTTAAAACACTGAAAGAAATATTTATGAAAATACTTCTAATAGTTATTGTTTTATTTGGAACGTTAATACTTAAAACTTTCATATTTATTTAATTATAAGTAACAATAAAAACTTATAGCAAATAAATTATAATTTACATGTTTTCGACAACAGTTCTTGATCATGCTCCAAATTGCTTTTAACATTCAAAATAATTTACTTATAAAAATTCTATACATATTCAGGAATATTTTTAATTATTTTATGATTCTTTGACCAGCAATACTTATCTCCTTTTTGGTAAATTTGATGATGAATCCTTTTTTCCAATATTTGCGGTTAAATTTAACCTTTTAGCAGAGCGTAAGTTAAAACTCAATGCCATTAAGATTATGTTTTTTTTTACATTTAATTTTACAGCAAAAATTATAATCATACTGCATTGTAATTTTACGGTTGTTTTCTAGGAATCTCTGTTCTATGAATCTACTGTCAATAATCTTACGATTATAAAGCATTGTATGATTTGTATAACTGCATGTTTTATTACTCTATGATTCGAAATTTTCTTCAATATTTTAATGTTTTTTTATTTAAGTACTTTTGATCTGGAACCTTTTTTTTCCTAAATAAAATAAAAAAATTTCTTTACACAAAAACTTGAAACAGTTAAAAGTTAGCTTGCTTTTAAATGAATATTTAAAAAAAAATATGCCATCTCATAGAATTGCTACGATATATTCTGTTTCACTTAGTATTAAAACATACCACTGACATTATTTATTTTTGTTTAATTTAAAACCTAATTAACTTTATGTATATTTAATATATCTACCCAGACACATACGTAGCTATAGAATATGGATACGTGTTTGGATAAAAATATTAAATAAATATTTTCAAATTTATATGTTTCACGTATATTTTCAACTGTCAAGACATTCTAGTTGCATTTTTTAAACTCGGTGCATGACTATTTTGTAAGAAAAATACCAGATCAAATTTCGGTAAAAATACTCATATCCTGATTGCGGAATCCTTAAAAATTTGTCCTACCGCAAAATCTATTTTGCATTAAAATTTTATGTCGTGATTTTTACAGTAATATTTATGTAACTCTAGTGATTTTACAATAAATATTACTGTAAAAATTACGGATGACAGATTTTTTTTGTTCCGTAAAACGTTACTATAAGAATGAATTTTATGGTAAAAAGTACTGCCACCCTGAGTGTCTGTTCTTTCTACCGTAATTTGATCCGTAATATTTTTTTACAGTGTAGAGGACATCCTATGCAGTCCTCAGGGGTCAGAACTAGTAACACTCATCCTCCAAGCTTTTGGAAACATTGAGCGCTGAAATAGACACGACAACAACAACATACAAATTAAATAAGTAAATAATTTGTCCATATTGAAGTCCTAATCAGCTTGTTGGACAGAAACATGGTCTTGTATCATTTCAAAAGGAAAAGTTATTCTGCAGATGCAATAAGTTATTATATACGAAAACCTTTCATCTGCGATCAAAATCTGTTTCATTTATCAAAAGAATACTTCAAAATAAATACTTAAACAAATAGCTTTGAATAAATTGGTTCAATTTTTTACGTTACGGGAATTTATGCAAGCCTTCATATGATTTATAAAAATTTATTACTTATCATATCATGTGCAATTAAATAAAAATTGTATCCTGGGGGAAAAAAATAACTGCTAGACAGTTTCGCCATATGTAGGTTTAATCCAGTTAAATTATTATGAAACGCAAAAATCACATTCATTGTAAACAACAGACAATATATAACACCAGCAACAAATTTCTCTTGAAATAATAGCTTTAACCTTTGCAAACTCGTAGACATTCAAACTTCCCACATTGGTTGGATATTGAAGGTTTTTATACTCGTATTTGCAAAACCACTCATACTGCAAATTATAGACATTCTTTTTAGCATTGTGTGAATTTTTCGTTTAGAAATTCACGAAAGCGAGCACATAAAGCTGTGACCTTTCGCAACTATCGTATCTATGGTCATCGGCAAGAAGTAAAAAAAAAATAAAGTAAGCTAGACCACCTACTTTTTTGTAAAACAGAATCTAAATTACAGCTTTCGAATAAATAAAAAATAAAGTGAAATTCTTTTAATAGGGGTGTTTCTGGACAAAAAATTGCTAATAAAACAATGAAATGGCGGGTGATCCTGTTTTCGTTTTCGGCAATCGGGTCAAAGGAACAAAAATGAATGCAGATCTAAATATTAAGTCGTTCGCAGAACTGAAGTTCTTTGTTCTTGTTGTCATATTTTGACATATAAGGGATAGTAGTTTTTAAAGAATATGTATGCGACTTGGGCAACTTAGGTTGCACGGAATATAACACCAATTAGCTTGGTCTGCGAGGGTGGCAACAGCCTTGAAACTCGATACATCATCGAATGACTATTTACAAAGTGAGAATTGTTTTATCCTCACTAATTAAAATAAAAAAAGGAGGTTATAATAGGTGAAGTTTTGCATTAGGCGTAAACTTACGACATTTTTGGGAGCGCTGAATTTGTCACAGATTTGTGTTTACCCCATTAATAAAACTGACTGTAATATAAATTAAGAACACTATCTAAGAAGATAAGAGTGATTCATTTTGCAAAACGTAATTTATTCATATTTTTTAGACACCCACAACAATTTAGGATTCAGAATAACTTTTTCTATGGAATACCAAGTTATTTGAAAAACCCGATAATTACGCGCTGTTAAAAAAACTGGTTGATATTTCACTTAAATAACTCACTTTAACCGCTATAAAGAATAAGTATTGTAATGCAAATTCTGTCTTTTTACACAGGATTTTATGTTAATATTCCAAACGTATGTGAATAAAAGAAATTGTCACAGCTCCACAGTCTTTTAATAATTACATTACCTGTATTTAATAAAATATGCAAGTGTCATCTTTGTAAGATTTGTCAGACCATTAAAATGAGATAAAGAAAGAAGAAATTAAGGATATTTTTTTAGTTCAAATAGTATTTAAGTGCAAGTTGCAGCTTTTCGCAGATTTACCAGGACTAAAAAAAAGCTTGAACTAAAATATAGTTCAATTTTACTTCGTACTATTTAAGTTAAGTTATATAATTTAATTAACTATAATTATTCTACCGACATAAGGAATTCAGCAACTAAGTTTTAAGTTAAACCATGGATCAATTAATAAACTCAGTCAAAAGTTAAAATATTACAGAATACATCTTAATTTTTTGTTCTCAATTAAATTATTCTAGAATGAGTTGAGTCCCTAGAATGTTTTTTTTACTTATGCATCTCTAAATTGTCTGATTTCAGGTGTCTGATTTCGTCACACGAAATTAAGTTCTTGGATTATTATTTTTTTAACTTTCAAATTAAATGTTCGAAAAGGTTACATCTTTTAGTAATCTGTGAAATTATAAATTATGCAAATGGGGTTTCCGATTCAATGGTTTATATTTTCCTCATAAATATTGTCTGTTTGGAAATAATTTAATTTGATAAGAAAGAAAGTCTAAATCATTTAAGAACCAACTTTTATTAAATATCTGTTTATGAAGTTTAACTACTTGCTCCTTAAACGTTCTTAAACAAATGAATTTTTATGAGCATTAATGTGAAGAAAAAAAACTATTTTAGAACCATCAAGGCAAACATAAAAACATTTAAAAGTCTTACTAACGTAAATGCTTATATGAAATTAAACAAAAACAAATAATAAATAAACACATAAAAAAAATAGAAATCAAACATTTTTGTTGTTTATTTGAATATATACAAGTTTAAGAGCGAGATTATGCAAAAGTATGATGATGGAATGAATTTGAAAATGGAGAAAATAAGAAAACAATTTTGCATATTTTCAAGATCCATAGCTATTAATTAATGATTGTAAGTAGCATATTTACTTTTTGGTGGAGAATAAATAGGTACCCAAGAACTGTGCTCACTCTTATAACTTTTTCCCTTCATGGAATGATGATACTTTTCTTTATGTCTTTGTTGTGGGTAATGTTGGATCAGAGTTTTTGATGGGTAAGCAATTTCGTCATGGTACTGTTTTTGCTGAATCGGAGTTTTCGAAAAATATTCTTCTTTTTCGAAGTACTGTTGTTGAATCGGTGCTTTTGAAGGATAAACTTGCTCTTCCTGGTATTGTTGTTGCAATTGTTGAATCGGGATTTTTGGATAATATTGCTTTTTTTCATAATTATTTTCTTGAAATGATAATTCTTTTTGGGCAGGGAAATCAGGTATTTTTGAATGGTAAACATTTTCTTCGTGGTATTGTTGTTGCAAATGATGGGTTGGAATTTGCGGAGGATATTTCTTTTCTTCGTAATTTTGTTGATGGAAATGCGGTGTTTTTGAATGATATTCCTTTTCCTGATGATATTGCTGTTGCAAATGATGCGTCGGATAATCATATTTTGTATGCTGTTGTGTGTAAATTTGCTCCGGGTACTTTGTTTTGGCGTATAAAGTTTGCAATTTGTAGGGAGGTGGCTCAGCGTATATATGTACGTCTGCTGGGTCTTCATTTTCAACTCCAGGCTCGTTAGTCTTGATTTTCGCACGGAAACCCTAATTAAAAATAATAGGAAAAAAAGAAAAAGTGAAAAAACTGAACCAATAGTAAATTAAAAAATATAGAAATTGTTTCTCTACCTCTAATGCCTATAACTTTTCACTTCATTTTTAATAAGGACTTTAAAAACATACTTTAAGAGATATGCATGAACGGTGAAAAAACATTTTGGAAAAACTACCGTATCATTTAAGTTATTAATTCTTATTGCCACACATTTAGTAAAAAATAAAAAATAAAGCTTAGAAGTAATTTTAATCGAATAAATGATTTTTTGCTATGCTCTAAAGTATAGTAACAAAATTACAGAATTTTACCACAGTTAGCAAATTTTATCACAAATTCTAAAACCATATTTTATTAAGGATTTTATCCAAATCATTACCAACGTGCTTCAGTAAAACTTGCCACAGTTTTTAGTATTCCTCTCGAACCAGAGACAGGGTAAATTTTACCATTTTGTAAATTTTACCAGGATAAATTTTTCGAATTATTACAAAATGAGTCGGTCGGTAAAAATCACAGAGCTTGTTGTTCCCATGGAGCACGGTGAGCGTAAAGAGCAATTTGGTGTTCCATACTCTTTTTTGCTGTGTGAAAGTACATTTTATGAAGCCCAAATGAAACGTATGTACTTAAACTTTTGATGCTGGCTTCGGGTAAAGAAGTATAATTACTTTTTTGCAAAAATATATCGAAAGAAATCTTTCATTCTATTACCTTTCTTAAACTTTTTCAAAATTTCTCTCACGAAGTTTACCCGAAAAAAATTTTCAAGGCTTTTTCAGTTATCTTATTGTGTTTTAATTACAATTTCTTATATTTCCCTATCTTTTAGGGTAGACTTTAAAGAACTATAGTCATTTTTTCTTGGAACTCCTGATTTCATTTTGTTGAAATGACAATTTGCGAAAAACAAGAGAAGTGAAGATAAACGGATCATATCTAGTTTTCTTCATTATCTTCAGAATGTACTCCATTCTTCATTAATATAAATGGCAAATTAAGTTGCATATTAAAAATTCCTGAGGTGTAATACAATCACTTTATTAAAAAACTAAAGATATTTCAGATCAAATAGTGTGTTCATTGAATTATAAAATATTTTTAAGTTTCAACACATACAGATAGAGACGCAAATGTGATTTTAATGTTAGCAACAACATTTACCTCAAAACCCCAACAAAGTTTATAAATGATTATCAAATAAACCAAACAAGCATGAAATAATAGTAAATTTTGCTATGCTAGTTTATGTACTTTGAGGTTCGCATTAAGCTTGCATAAACAACCCTTTTATATTGAGATTGAATTTGCATTTACAAAACAAGGCTAGAAAACCTTCTGAAAGCGATGATGTACTATGATTCACAAATCAAGAGTAGAAAGCATTCACAAACAGAAAATAAATGCAACTTCTCAAGATCTATATTAGGTTTCAGAAATCATGACTAAAGCAAGATTTATTTCCGTAACCTTTTATATACTTTTTTTAACACTTTAAAAGTGAAGGTTTGCCTGATTATTAAGTTTTCAACACAAATAAAATGTTGCCTGGACAAAGCTATATTGTAATGTTTACAATAAAAGCTAAAAAAGTAAGATTTTTTGCATGTTTTTATTCAATCCTAAAGAAAACAAGCTCGGATTACTATTATTTCTACTATTTAAAAAAATTATAAATTACTCAAACTTTCCATGCCAACCAAAGGAAAATAAAAGTACTACGTTTTCGATAAGGTTACTTGCTATCCGGGTATGTATATTCTTAAGTATTATTTTTGATACATATTAAATATTTTTCTTCTACTCTTTCATTTAAAAAAAATAACGTTGTTATTAAAAGCAGTGTTCTCAAAATCTTTTAGTTCATGCTATTTTAGGTGGAGAAATGTTTATTTTACTTATTTGACTATTATTACAGATTGCAAGGACGAAATATTTTTTTATAAAAATAATCTTACCTCGTGATCAGCTATGTAATCAACATGTCTATAAATTCCGTACGCATCTGTATATCCATAAGAACCTTTTTTGTAATTGTATTCATCACTCTCTTCTTTGTGAAAATGAGCATTTCCTTTACCATCTTTAATTTCATAGCCGAATTGGTAAGGATCGGTTTTCTAAATAAGGAATATAATATTATATGTAATGATATATAATAAACTAATAAAATTTTAAGATGTTTTGACAGCAATGTTACAAAAAAAATTAAAAGGGTAGTAAAAAATTTTAAGTCTTCTCATAACTTGTTTTTCTAGGAATATTTTCAAATTTCTCTACTTCTCTTACTTATATTATCCAATTAAACTTTATTTTAAAAAATTCATAGTTTCGATCATAATATAGGATAAGCAAATAAATCGTCCCGGATAAGCAAACATCCCGAATAAACCAATTTATACAAATTTTAATGGATAAATGGTAGAAAATTTAAGATTATCATACAATTAAACATTAAGATTATCAGTTCAATCCCGTTAAACTGCAGGGCTAAAAGGAATGAAAGGGCTGGTTCACTCCTTTGAAGAAACTCTCGCTGCGCCAAACCTCCGATTTTCGCCTGTGACGTCACGGAGGCGCAAAGCTTGAACTTTTACTTTAAGAACGGAGCGTTCTGTCTAACTAACCGTAACTTAAACGCTTGTCAATTGCAAACAAGCTACCTAATCTTTCGTAAAAGTATGCATAGAAATAAAAATTTCAGAAATTCCGAAAATAATGATATTCTAGCCAACAAAATATAATACATGACTTAACTAAGTCCATTCCTATGTCTTGGGATATTGACCTTAACTAGGAAAAGAAAATGATCAATTCACAAGAAAAAGAAGGACTGAATTATATTGCTGGTTAGATAGCATTTCGCCTTAAAAATATTGATTCAAAAATTAGAAATAACATTTTCTCAGTACATCCAACAACAAGGGAACAATACGGAATGGATAAATTTTTCTAAGGTAGGATTAATTGTTCCGTTAGCAGCATGGATGGAAGTGCGTCCGAAAAAGTGTCATCAAAGAACTTATAAATGAATTAGAGGGACGATATCCCGCAGTGAATAAAACAGCAACACGATTATTTTGTCTAACTTTTGTATAACTTTTTGGCAAAAAAAAAAATTATTACGTAACTTAGTCTGTAAAATCAAAATCAAAGCATAAATATGTTTAAGTTTACGTACGCATTTTCCATTCATAGCACGTTCATGCAATAGTGAAGTGCATTTTTTTCTTTTTCTTATTCTTATTCTTTATACTTTTTATACCTATACTTTTCGAGTTCCCTAACTCGAAAGATGATAAAATTACATGAAATCAATAGAAAAAAGAAAAAAATTATAGTCACAATATCGTTTATCTTGAAAAAAGGCAAGAATGTTTCATATTCAATCACTTACATATTCGTGATGTTGAGGATAAGATGTTTTCAGTTCATATCCATTTTCCACAGGCTCTGTGATGTATTTCTTATGAGAAAATACTCCACAAAGCAAAGTAAGGAACCATATGTACGTTGTCTAGAAGAACAAAAAGGATACATAAATTTATTGTGATANTTCATAACTTGTTTTTTCATGAATATTTTCAAATTTCTCTACTTCTCTTACTTGTGATGTATTATCTTCACAGTATTATCCAATAAAACTTTATTTAAAAAAATTAATAGTTTTGATCATAATATAGGATAAGCAAATAAATCGTCCCGGATAAGCAAATATCCCGAATAATCCAATTTATACAAATTGTAATGAATAAATGGTAGAAATTTTAAGATTATCATACAATTAAACATTATTAGTTCAATTAATACAAAATAAAAAGTGCTAATAAGACATTTTAATTTTATTTAGATTCACAATTCATGTAGTTAAAAGGAAAAACATAGATGCAGTTTACCTGACTGTTTTGAATTATGAATTTATATGAGTTTGTTTCTTATTTACACTCTTCTGTACATTTGGCACTCTTCTGTAATTATATTTTGATTTAAAGACTTTGAATGAAATGAATTTAAAGACTGAATGAATTTAAAGACTGTGAATCAAGTCTTTGAATGAAAGTATAAGGTAAAAAAAAAATTTACGTAACTAAGTCTGTAAAACCAAAATCAAAGCACAAATCTGTTTAAGTTTACGTACGCATTTTCCATTCATAGCACGTTCATGCAAAATTGAAGTGCATTTTATTATTTTTCTTTATACTTTTTATACCTATACTTTTTGAGTTCTCTAACTCGAAAGATGCTAAATTACATAAAAGCAAACGAAAAAATAAAATAAAAAAATTATCTTCACAGTATCGTTTATCTTGAAAAAAAGCAAGAATGTTTCATATTCAATCACTTACATATTCGTGATGTTGAGGATAAGATGTTTTCAGTTCATATCCATTTTCCACAGGCTCTGTGATGTATTTCTTATGAGAAAATACTCCACAAAGCAAAGTAAGGAACCATATGTACGTTGTCTAGAAGAACAAAAAGGATACATAAATTTATTGTGATACATAACCCAACTGAACACAAATTGTACAACTATCAGAATTTGTTTCAAAACTATAAATAATACAACACCTGGGCAATTCAAAACATTTTTAATTTTTTTCCTCTTTAACACAACAACGTAAAGTCATCAAAAAAGTATTTTTTCATACATAGGAAGTTATTATTAGTCATGCATTATGTAGCATTGCGTTAGAAGTTATTATTGTTATTACGAAAATGCATTTTTAAAGAAAAAAATTTATTGATTTACAACATATTTTCCATAAAACGGCACTTTTATTTCTTTAAGAGGATAAGTTTTCTTTTAATAATTCTCCAAAAAGGTTATTAAATGAATATGAAGGGGATGGATGAAATAATGGAAACTGTTCTGCACCAATACATTTTTTCATATTTCTCAATAAATAAAAGAATCCTTTTATAACTTAAGAAGAGTTTAGATCATGCGATCTTATACTTCTCCTTAAAGTTTAAAGCTTTTAGAGGTTGAGGGACTGTCAATAAATTACAAACGGAAAATAGTATTTTTGAACACCCAATGCCAAAAACTGTAGGAATAAATTAGTAACTTGTAATAATTATTTTGGTAATTATATACGATAATTTCAAAAATTTCGTAAACCTAGCTTGATATTTATGGAGAGATTGATATTTTATGAAAAATAATATTCTTTGTAGTATGCTTTTTTGTTATAACTTTAAAAATATTAAATGAAATTAAGTCAAATTTTTGTAGCAATTTAAAATTAACTTGAAAATTATTGCTTTAAGAAATTTGTTTGAAATTGCGCAAAATATGAGTAATTAAGATAATTATTTTATAATGCGCATAAGCAGGAATTTTAAATTTTTTTTCTCATTGTAATGAATCGTATTTGGCAGCTTAAAAAAGAAAAATCCGACTTGAATATCTTAAAAATTTAAAAAGTTCCAAGCAATTTTCAAAGTAGTTTTTATACTTTTTAAAAGAAATTAAAATGATAAGAGGTTTTCCACATATTTTATTTTGTACTATTAAACAAGATTTATTAAAAATGGCTCCGGCAATGTTGGGGATCATCCTCCATTAAAGCATCTTTTCTTTCACCTGTTTTCTTTCCTTATACAATCATATTTTGATGTATAAACGCTTATTATGAGGAATTATCGTGTTATTTAATTTTGTCTTATGATTAAAAAATAATATTTAATAAATAAAATAATTTACGAAAATAATATTTAAGATATTCAAATCGAACTTTTTTATTAGCTGCTAAATACAATTCTCTACTAAATTTTGAGAAAAAAGTTTCATATTTTTCCTGCACATGTGCAGTATTAAAAAAATACTTTGATTTCTAGTATCTTACGCAGTTTTAAATAAATTGTTCTAAAATTTTAAAGAAATAATTTTTCTATTAATTTTAAATTGCTCTAAAAATTTTGTTTAATTTTATTGAATATTTTTAAAGTTATAACAAAAATCCGTTAGACAAAAAAATAATTTTCTATAAAAATGTCTACATCTCTATAAATATCTAAGCTAAGTTTACGAAATTTTGCGCAATTATCGTATATAATAACCAAAATAATTGTTACAAGTTACAAATTTATTCCTACATTGTGTTCAAAAACACTATTTCCGGTTCGTAATTTATTATCAATCCCTCAAATCTCTAAAGCATTAAACTTCATAGAAAATTGTGAGAAATCGCATGATATGAATACTTCTCAAGTTATAAAACAATTCCCAATTATTTCTTGAGAAATATGATAAAATATATTAGTACAGATGTGTTTCCACTATTTTGCCCAACCCTTGTGTATTAAAAATATTTATTAAGAATTATATGTTACACTATTAGAAATTTCTCGGGAAAATGGTTAAATAGCAATTTTTTTAACTGTAACCTTACCATATTCAAACAAAAAAGTCAAAAAACCATAAATAAAATGATAATCAAATACTATTAAACAACAAAAATTTTATCTCACCAACTAAGCCCACCTAACGAAGTCACTTAGTTCCTTGCAACTGCGAACATTATTATAGCCGAGAGGGCTAATCTGTCAGTCTCGTGACCTACAGAACTTGGGTTCGTGTCTCAGCGTTCACACCACAATATTTCCTCCACTCCCTTCAACACATGAAGAGAATTCAATGTCCTACACTCGCCGATTTGTGTCATGCAGTCTCCAATGCCATTTCCGAACAAAAAGTCTATCTCTTATGTCCAGTTAAATTTCTTTTTTTTACGGTATTGAAGCTATAGCTGTAAATGGTTAAAAACCGTATAATATTGCATTCTTGGTGTTATAACCATACTAGTTGCAAACGGTTTCAAAACCGTGAAAGTAAAATACATTCCTTACCATAAACTTTACAGTAAATCGGATGGACAGACTGCTGCCTTAATTTTACCATAATTTTATAATTAAAATACTAACAGTATAGAATTAGCCTTAAACATCTACTTACTTTTTTTAATGAACACTTTTACCATTGGCGTAATTTTAAAACATTTCTCTGATATTCTATTTCAAACTTTTATTAATAAATTAGCATCCTTCGATGGCCAGTCGATTCGCCCTCTCCTGGGCCTTGTTAAGGGTTTGTGAACGGGCAATCATCCAGGACTAGCGAAAATGAGTTTCTTCACGAGTTCAAACTAATTAAATTCTAAAATTGAAACAATTCATAATATTTTATGAATTTAAAATGTTTACAGTGTTGCAATGTAACTCAATTATAGTTGTAACTTTTCAATGCTACTTTTAAATATATAATGTTTTAAATTCACTACAACAAATTGCCGCAGTGGCTAAATGGTTAAGGTACCCATCTGATATTTTGTAGAACAAGGGTTCAATTCCCGAAGACGGCTTAAAGCATATCCTGCTTCAGATTGATGAGTGGGGTGTAAAGGCAGTTGTTGTGCAATGCTAACCGATCAAGACAAAATTTTCTGTACTTTAACAATAAACAACAACATTCGTTATAAATAGTTTAATAAAAAATTTGAGCTATTTCATCTAACATTGGGAGTGAAAGGAAATTTTACATATTTATTTCCTTTAAAAAAAAAAATCTGAAATAAATATGTAATTAGCTCTCACAATTTGAGCAACTTGCAAGCTATTTCTGTTGATGTTATTTTATTTTTCTATTTCTATTATTTTATCTATAGTACAAATAGCTTTTAAATAATTATATTTCACTCAAGTATAAAATTAAAAAATGATTATATAAAAGTGCTTTCGAAGAGGACAATTAATTAATATTAAAAAAATTTAAAAAAAAATTTTTTGTAATACAACATACTGTGTTTCTCTTGATGTGTCTTAAAATCATTGTTTTAAAGTTCAATAAATTTTACATTTTAGAAAATTTAAAATTAAATGGCAAATTTATCTCCTTTTAATATTTTATTCAGGAATAACATACTTCAATATTTGCCCATTTTACAACCATTTAATAAAACTTTATTCTTAACTTTATTAAAACTTTGTTTACACTTTATTCTATAAGAATTGCGCTGAAATATGTTTCGAAAGTTTACATAAATTTTATGAACTGGTAAAGAATCATTTATATTTTATAAAACATTTTTGCCGTAAATACATATACTTCATAATAAATGTTTGATGTAATTTTTACTTCATAATAAATGTTACTTCATAATAAATGTAATACTTCATAATAAATGTTGAATGTAATTTTTAAAAATCGTTTTCAAAAATTAAAGTTAGTAAAAATTGTTTCCAAAAAAAATCATAAATGCCCATTTTCTAAAATATTTAAATACTTCTTTCAAACAGGAAATAACTGAAAATAGTATTTTTATTTTGCTTATTAATTCTTCTTTAATTGTGAAATAAAATTAAAAATCACTTGTAGAAAAAAATTCAATAGTTTCCCCAAGTTTGCTTATTTTTAATTAAAATAACCAATAAGGACTTTTCTTAAAGAACAAATGGTTTTCCTATAGTAATTTGTAAAAAGTATATAATTTGAATTTAAAATAATTTTATAATTTGAAGTAGTTTTTGCTGAAAAAATGTAAAATTTAAACACATCAAGAGGAAAAAGCTTCAAAACCAACAAATCTTTGCACTCGTGATTAAATATAGAATTATGGCTTAGAAAATAAAAATATTTAAAAATTGTTTTCAAAAGTTAAAATTATTAAAAATCGTTTTTGAAAGTTAAAAATTAGCAAAAATTGTTTTCAAAAACTAAAATTAGAAAAACTAATTTCAAAAATTTAAAATGCAAAAACTCGTTTTCTAAAATAGTTAAAAATAATTTTCCAACATCAAATCATCGAAAAAACTTACATTGTTCATTGAGATACTCCAGGTAAGGAGCCTAAAAACCAATTTCTTTCAAAATTCCCAAACGATTGATCTAAAAAGATGGGTTGATTTTTCTTTAAATAGAGAAAAGATGTCCTAAATTTGAGATTTTATCTAATGGACATGGTCAGCGCCCTGCAGCTCCTAATCTCAAACGCCCTATTTTTTTATTTTTATTTTTTTTTAACTTTCGGACACGTTTTTCAAACGGACAGACAACACCCCCAGGGGCCTCATCTACTGATCTTCAAATATTTGATACGAAAGGAAAATCGACATTTTTAGTTTTAGTTTTTTTTTTTTTTTTTACCAGCA